TTTATGAGTATGCAAAATAGATAATTATCATATATGATGTTATAAATAATTGAACCAATCCACGATCTACATTTTGGTACCAACTTTACTCCTATATCTTCATATGTATTGAAAATATAGATCTTTTAATGATTTCATAATATTTTCAGGTTGCCATAGCAACATGTCAATTTTCACCACTTTTAGGGCATTTTCCGCCCTGGAAACAGGCATGTTTTACAATGTCAGATAATTTTGCATAAGAAAAGTCTGTTTCCACAATGTTTGACGTGGGGTGAAGTTAAACTCCAAATTTGTGGCCTTAGCTTCCAGACTATAATCAATAAGTCATATATTCTACTTGTTTGCCTGCCTGTATTCCAAATACAAAATCAAGTCAGCTGATTACGTAAGCGCCAATTAGCTTGAGAATACTTTCCCCATGATCTTTGATTACAATTGTGTGTAGTATTCTCTGTTCGATCGATGTTCTCATTCATCGATGTTCTCACCTGTGTAAACTTTCTGACCAGAGTCCGCGCTCGGCCTTCAATTCTAATCAAAGGTTCGTGTGAACACGCACAGTGACACAACCGCCCTCTATCGGTAATTCGTTTCTACGTCCATGGCAACAACATGACGACGAGCGATGCACGTACCACTCTGGTCAGTAGAGCGAGTAGTCTCGGAAATAATTGAATGACAATAAAGTCATTCTACGGATTTTTATTTGGCAAGAGGAAAGTATTTTTAGATTTATACACGATAGCCAAGTTAACAGGATTATTGCAGAAAAAAGACAAAGAATTGGGGTTAGAGAACAGTGCCATTGAAAGTACAATCTTTGAAGTCAAAATTCAAGGAAATAATTGACAATAATAACCGTAGTGGTAGGGTACGTATACTAATATATTCAAACACGAAACTCACTACAGAGGGCGTGATACACAGGTCTGATATAGAAGTACGTTTTTAATGTCGTGTGATGGCAAACGAAATACGCCGTAATAGGACCAATGCGAACACTGGAGTTCTAATTAGCTCTACAACGGTGTATTTCTAATCTGTATGAACCAAGTAATAATCATGCGTGGAACGCACTCTTGTCAAGGATCTCGCAGCGTAAACGTATTACTTTATTACCTGGTTCACACGCGGCCGTTGTAGCAACGTCGTAAATTTAACGACAGTGTTTTTTTACCGTGTGACCAGTTTACATAGATGTAAAGATGGCGGATTTTACTCCGGCGTAAACTGTTTGACCAGAATCCGCGCTCGGACCTAAATTCTAAACAAACACTCACAATGGCATAAACAGTTGCATTTACGCCCTCTGTCGGGAATTCATGTATACGTCCATAGCAACAACACGGCGACGAGCGATACACGCACCGCTATGGTCAGTGGAGTGAGTAGTCTCGGAAATAATTGAATGAAAATAACGTCCTGCTACTGATTTTTATTTCGCAAGAGGAAAGTAATTTTACATTCACAGACGGAACCACGCGCGATAGCCGAGTTTACAGAATTGTTGCAGGAAAAGACAAGAAATTCAAGTTGGGGTAGATAGACCTACAGAGGGCATGGACAGGACAATTACGCCGGTGTTTTAGTGTGATCGCAATCGACATATGCCGTTGTAGGGCCAGTGTGATCACTAGTGTTCTCACTGGCTCTACAACGGTGTATTTCTAATATGTGTGAACCAAGTGTATTTCTGCAATGTTTTTAAAGGGGAACCGCTCAATCCCCTGGATTGCACCAAGTGCTCATGGATAATTAACTCCGCCTCTGTCCACTGAGTGAATTAATGCTTATCTTTCTCCTTGTACCGCTAATCCCACAAAACAACGACTGATATAAACATCCTAAGAACGGATTACAATTTGCTTATTTAAATATAACATAGCAATTGAATTTCAAACAAATACAGAGCAGTCTTCATGTGCCATGATTTGAAACATCGCGCGCTCGGTAATTTATACATCCTCGGAAAAATATGACGCGGAACTAATTCAAGTTGATGATGGCCAACAAGAAAAGTCAGCAGTCCACCGGATACACACGACGAGATTGTTGCTAAACGGTCGCGGATTTTCTTCGCGACTCAAGTTTATTTGTCTGTTTCCGTTGCGTCGGTCTATTGGCGGTACTGATCTCGTGTACAGTAAACCTGAGAACGACATTTCTTAGGCACATTATGTATACATACTACTCCTCCAGACTGCTAATATAACAAGTATAATAAATATTTAAACGAACGTGTATTTACTATTGTGTATTTGACGTACGATCATACGAAAATGTCCACATAGTAGTAACCAACATCGTTCTGGCGTTCCTAAAAGAAGTTTAAAAAAACGAACACTGCATTGCTTAGTAGCAAATAATCACGGTAGCGCAA